AGAAGGGAGAAGGGAGAAGGGAGAAGGGAGAAGAAGAAGAAGAAGAAGAAGAAGAAGAAGAAGAAGAAGAAGAAGAAGAAGAAGAAGAAGAAGAAGAAGAAGAAGAAGAAATAGAAGTAGTTAAGGGGCTGTGAAGACAGCCCACTCAGGAAAGCACTTTCCTCACAATCGTGAAGGTCTGAGTTCAGTCCCCACCGGAAATACCTGGTGTGGCCTGCACTTGTTATACCAGCATCAGTAAGACAGATGGAGGAGCCCCGGGGCTTGCTGCTTCTAGGCCAGTGAGAGAGCCTGTCTCAAAGGGAGGTGGCAGTATTCCTAAAGGTGACAGTTGAGGGTGTCCTATGGCTTCCACGTGTATGTGCAAACACACGTGCCCTTGTGCACAAACATGAACACGCTATGCTTAAGGGGATGCTGAAGAACCGCCTGTCTTCTCCCTGTCATGCGCTCTCCTACCCAGCCTCCCTAGATGTAGTCTTTGACTTCCATACACTGTCCTTCAAAGCTTCTATAGATGCACATACCTGTGAGGATAGAAAACATTCTCCCTCAGGCTTTAATCTGTAAATAGGTATTCTGCAGATACATATTTTACTGCTTTTATTTCCCACTTAATGGTTTTGAGATTTATCCATTTATTTTAGCAATTTCGGAGTGCCCTAGTGCATTTCATGTTCGTCTTTTTGGTTATTTCTAATTCTACATAACTTGGATCACCACACGGTGAAGTCCTTTGTACATGTCTTCTGGGAAGCAAAGTGTTAGTTTAGTCTTATATTTACTAAGTAACTTCACAAGTTTCTTAATTGCTCTGCAATAATATATACATTTCCTGTTGCTACAACCTCGGAGTCCTAATCTTAATTTTTTCCAGTGTGAAGGGTAACGGTTACATCTCACATCTGGAAATTGCCTTGGTTACTAGTTTGACTAAACATGTTTTTCATAAACTCTTGGCCATTTGGTTTTTTAAATCATCATAAATGGTGTGATATGGGAAGATTGTGTGTGTGTGTGTGTGTGTGTGTGTGTGTGTGTGTGTGTGTGTGTGTGTAATTTGATGTTTTGCCTCAAGAAATTCCTCTCTACTTAAATAATAAAAAAGTTGTCTGTATTTTATAATTAGTTTGTTTTTTCCCATTTGCTTTTGTCCATGACATGATGTGGCTCTAAATACTTGATATGGTGCCACCAAGTGCTCTTCTGCCCACTTACATGTGACAACACCCTGTTGTATACCAAGGTTTGTTGTATTCCATTGGGCCGGTGACATTTTCTTCTTAAAATTCCTTATTTATTTATTGAGAGAGAGGGAGGGAGAGAGAGAGTGCGAGTACATGCTATATCATGCATGTGGCAGTCAGATGACAACTTGGAGTCTCTTCTCTCCTACCACTGTGTGGGTTCTGAGGATCAAGCTCAGGCATCGGGCCTGGCAGCAGGAGCCCTTACCCACTGAGATAAGTCATTGACCTTGATCAAATTTTCATGATCGGAGAGAACACCAGTCCTAAGCATTAGACTACAGGGGAAGCTAAGTTTTCCTGCTTTGAGTTTGTTTTGATTTAAATCTCTTGTTCCATTTTTCTGTTATATTGTTGTCATATCATCACCACATTGTTTTAATTCTTAAAACTTCACAGAAAGTCTCAAAACCTAGTAGTGTGACCACAGCCTCCTACTTTCACTTTTTTTTTTGTTTTGTTTTCTTTACAATTGTTTGGGCTCTTCCTGGACCTGGTCTTTTTCTTACTTAGTTTTACCATGTCCTCACTGAGGGACTTACACTTATTAGGACTGCAGCGATGCTATAGATTATTTCAGGTAGAATGGACAGTTGTAAATTGCTTATATAATTTTATTTATATCTTCCTCATGCTCCAAGTTTTTATTAGTCAACATTTTGCTTTTAACTTTTAAATGTTTCTTATAAAATGCATTACATTTTGGCAAGATTTGTTCCTGTGCATTGTGTCTTAGAAGATTTTATGAATAAGACCTTTTATGAAGGTTACATTTTTAAATTGTTTGTTGCTGCCCTGTAAGGCCTCGAGGATTTTTTTGAGGGGGTTTGAAGGGCTAGAGAGGTTTTTTGTTTTGTTTGTTTTTTAATAGTGGATTCTGTATTTGACAACTTTACTGGGTTCTCCCATTAGTGCCATCATGTGGTTATAGATATGTAGATTATCTTAACATATCTGGGTTGAGAACAACTTACAGTTTTACAGTTGAGAATAACAGCAGTTTAGTCACCCCCCCCTCCCCATTCCAATCCTTATATTAGTATCAACTGTTTCTGTGTCTTGCTGATCTGGCTAACCCTTTTGTATAGAAGTAATGACAGCTACCATCTTTATCTTGTTCTTGCCTTCAGAGACTGCTTCTGGTTCCTTCTCTTCTGTGCTGGCTAGTTTATGTCAACTTGACACAGACTAAGTCATCAGGGACGAGGAACCTCAATTGAGAAAACACCTCCATGAGAGCAGGCTTCAGGCCAGCCTGTAGGGAATTTTCTTAATGAGTGATTGATGGGGAAAGCCCAACCTGTTACAGGTGGTGCCACCCCTGGGCTGGTGGTCCCATGTTCTATAAGAAAGCCTGCAGAGCAAACTATGAGAAGCAAGCCAAGTAAGCAACTTCCCTCCATGGTCTTTGCATCAGCTCCTGCCTCCAGATTCCTGCTCTGTATGAGTTCCTGTCCTGACTTCCTTCAATGATAACTATAATGTGGAAGTATAAGCCTAATAAGCCTTTTCCTTCTCAACTTGCATTTGGTCATGGTGTTTCATCACAGCAGTAGTAACCCTAACTAACCACCTTCCTGCCTCCCATATATTTTTGCTGTGAGATATTGGCAGGTAGCTACATAAAGTGAAATCTGTTCCTTTCTGCTTTGCTACGAGTTGAACTTTTTGTTGTTGTTTTTTGAGTTTAAGTGATTTTCTCCATACAGTGAGATGTTTTGCTTTAATGTGGTAATGTGGTCACCTATTTTAATAGATTTTTTTGAGACAGGTCTTACTATATATCCTTAGCTGGTTTGAAACTGGCTATGTAGACCAGGCTGGCCTTGAACTCAGAGAGATCTGCTTGCCTCTGCCTCCCAAATCCTGAGATTAAAGGCGTATATATGTCACTACATCTGGCCCATTTTAATGCATTAGTAAACTAATTTTTCATTCCTGAGATAAACCGTATTTGTTAGGATATACCATATTCATCAGTTGTGACATGCATATTTTTCATATTTCAGCATTTCTGTAGTTAGGATATACTCTACTGACAATGGCATCTACTAATTCCACTTAAACTTGGTCAATTGTAATCCCTGACAGATCTCTTACAGACCGTTGAAGGAAGGAAAATGAATGTTGGTTGACAAAATTCTTACTGTTGTCATTTTCTGGCAAGTCAAAGAAATCTTCAGCATCAAAACTTAGAGAATTGGCGCACGCCTTTAATCCCAGCACTTGGGAGGCAGAGGCAGGCGGATCTCTGTGAGTTTGAGGCCAGCCTGGGCTAC